CCAAAGATGTCCTACTGAGTTGGGGGATTAGTGTGGATAGTGTATGTATGTTATGTAACTCCAGTCCAGAAACCTCTTCACATATCTTTTTTGAATGTCCTTACTCAAGATCAATCTGACAGGACGTGCTAAGTTGGATGAAGTGGCAAAGAACCATCTTGAATTGGGAATTGGAGTGGCGATGGGTTTCTAAGATAGCTAAAAGAAGAACTGCACCAGGTGTTCTGCTAAAGGCATGCTTTGCTGCTGTTATATATGAAATATGGATTGAGAGGAATAATCGGGTGTATCAACACAAGGCCAAAAGCAGGGAGGCAATACTACATGACCTGAAGACTTATCTGTGTATAAGAGTTAGAGGCAACAGAAAATTATTTGAGTTTATTGTTCATTATAGGTGTTTTGACGTCCACTGTAGGTGTATGGATGTTTTAAGTCTTGTAGTTGCAGGATGAAGTTTTTGAGAGGGGCATGAACTAGTTTGTTTTGCTCTCGTTTTGTACAGCTATCCGGTAATTAATAAAATTTATTTAATTGCCAAAAGAAAATAGTCATTTAATTATTTTTTTTAATATTCATTGAAATCTGATATTAAATTATCATTTTTATAATGAACTACATAATATACATTATCCTGAAACCATAACTTGATATTTTAATATTGACTGCTAATAACACAATTACTAGCTACTACAATTTGTCAAACTTCAATAATATTACAGGATCCATCAGTCCCAAAAAATAATATTAACTAGATAGTGGATTAGTTGAGTCATAATAGATGGTATTTTTTTATATAAAATACAAAAGTTTGGGGTAATTTTTAAAATTGTTAAAAAACCCAACGGTAATATTTTGAGCCAAAAACAGGTCTAGAGCTAGTTTTGGGATTTGAAAATTTTGTTTTCAAAATCTAACAAAATATGAATAAAATCTATAAACAAATAGGTTTTGCTGGAAAATATTATTAAAAGAAATTGTTAAAATCTATGGATAAATGGGAGCTTGGCCAAACTTCTAAAAGTGGTTTTAAGCATATTTTTCTTTAATGTACTTTTCAAAAAATTATTTTTGGAGAGAAGTTTTTTTTTCTGCTTCTCTAAAACTGTTTTTGTTTCTACTCAAAAGCATTTTTTTTCTTTTAAAAGCTTGGCCAAATACTTCAACTTTGAAGGGAAAAAAAAAAAGCAATGGAGAAGCTTGGATTCCAAAGCCAAAAACACTTTCTTTTTTTTTTTTTGAAAAAAGTGCTATTTTTTCAAAATTGTAGTGTTTGGCCAAGCTTTTAGAAGAAAAAAAGTGCTTTTGAGGAGAAGCATGAGCGGTTTTGGAGAAGCAGAAAAATACCTTCTCTCCAAAAGTACTTTTTTGAAAAATCACTTTTGAGAAAAATACACTTAGAAGTAATTTTTAAAAGTTTGGCTAAACACAAATTGTTGTTCAAGAGTGCTTTTCAAATTAATTAGCCAAACACAAACTGCTTCTCACTAAAAGTACTTTTGAAAAAAATATTTTTGAGAAAAACACATTTCAAAATAAGCTTATTTTTGCAACTTGACCAAATAGGCTATAATAGCCCAGACTCTAGATTGTGCTCTAAAATTCTATGTGTTTAGTGATGTGTTGCATGGATGCATCGCTCGAGTGTGATCTGCAATTTTTTTCTACTTTGCCATAAGTGCAATTTGACTCTTTTTTACTTTAATTTTATCATGATAAAAAAGGTTGGATTTTGGTTTACTTTTAATCTATTAAACTCAAATACTATTGGAAACGCGATATATTCCTAAGCTCCATCAAATAATACCAAATTAACTCAAGAATCAAGGCCAATAATGGCAACTACGCCATCGTATAATTTCACTATATCAAATGTATTTCGGAAAGTGCAAGAGGGGAGGAGTGAATTGTCGATTTTTCTTTTTATAGCCAAGTAACTGACTAGTTTGCAAATTAGTCGATTTAAAGTAGAAGCGAGGTAAAAGCTAAAGAAAGAATGTAAAGTGCAGAATTTAAATGACACCAAGTATTTTTATACTGGTTTGGATTCAATATGAATCCTACTCTAGTCCCCTTGGGTTGCAAAAAGGTTATATCTTCAAAGCTCCTTCAAAACTTTGTACAAGTATGTTTATGTTATTGCGAACACCAACTGCCATTTTGGTTCTAATTAAGTACACTCGTTGTAATTTTGATATAATGCCTCATCAATATTTTTCTCTCTTTCTTCTCTCTATTAGATACACAGTAAATCACAAATGCTTGCTTAGATTAGGACAAAGAGCACGGAGTTGGTTCGATCAAAGTATATTGTTCCTCTTTATCGTTGTGTAATATATACACCTTGAGAGATCTATTTTGATTTAATTGTGGTAGATCTTGAGAGATTGCATTACCAAGGGAATTGATCCTTGGAGTGAATCAGAATTGATTCCTTTTAAGAATAAGTGCGGAGCCACCTTGATTTGAATCTTGACTGGCGGGCTTGATTGAATTTTCCATATGCGAATGAATCCCACTTTAACGAACAACCTTTGATTAGTCCTTTGATTTCGTAGTCTAACAAATTTCCTTTAAAATGTGTATATTCAATAGCTATGATAGGCGGATTCTTAGCCGTCTTGGACTTCGTTAATTTTGGACCTTCCTTTCCTTTCTTCCTTCGCCTGAGTTGTCACGTCTTCTGAGATCTTTTTCTTTTTTTCTTTTACTCTTTCCTTTAACGTCTTTCTACACATACCTTTGATAGTCTTGCTCGTATTTCTTTGCTCCTGGAATGGTCCTGCAAATAGAGACGTATTATTTTTCATTATCGAATAGATGGTAGTAAAAAGGTGATTAGGGATCATCTAGTCGAAGGACTCTTTGGGAAGGAAAGAAGCCTGTAGGAGTACCCTTAATCTACCCATGTTTTTCCTCAGACTCTTTGAAACTTGGATCTAACACTTTCAAGTACTAAAATTGCACTTGTAATCATTCTCTGCAAATAACATTTTGTTTATTCTATTGGTGCTCAAAATTTTGAATCGCCAACAAAAGATGCTTAGACTGGATGAGACTCACACACTAAACAAGCTTGAAGGCATCCCAACTTCTTCAATTCTCGTTGTGACATAATATTATGTTGTTAGACATACTGTGCGATTTGAGTTGATTAAGCTGAAGGGTTAATTCAGTAGCTTGAATCGTTATCATAAGGTAGTTTAGTCATTTTAGAAAGTATAATATATGCTTCCACTCGAGCTTCAAGTGAATCATTGCCAATAGTTGATTGGAACATACAATTCGATCGTTTGCTCTCCCTCGAGTAGTCTCGCAATCTACTAGGTAATTTTGTTGCCGAAAAATCAATTGGTCTCAAACAAGCTTTATTGCTCTTCGGCCTTCAAGTTCTCAAGGTCCCAAGCCAACACAAACCTGCTTGAGATCACCAAAGATAGTGACAAGTTAGTCCACATCAAGACTCGTCGAACAAGCCAAGAACAACTAACGCTCGAGACAATATGATTTTTAGAAACAGTTAACCGAATGAACAAAAAATATAAGACATACTAGCATAATCCGTATGTTGTATTTCATAATTCGTAGCTAGTGTAACTTGCAAAATGAGAATAAAAAATGGAGGCTTATGGTGAAGACCCTGTTTGAAGGTTATCTCTAATGCCGGGATGATCTCTTTTCGTGCTCGAGCGAGATAATCAGCAAGGTTTAAGGTCTTTACACATACTGCATACATACTCTCTCCCTTGCTTTTAACTATGTAAAGTTCTAAAGTTTGTTGGGTTTAAGCTTCTTAGAGCTTCGAATATAGTGAATGGGAAATGGGGGAAAAATGAATTTTTTTAATTTTTCTCTTTGACAAAAGGACATTGTCACATATTGGAGGAGGAAAAGAGTTTTGATGGGTATATATACAATTGCACTTCTTCTAGATCTTAAAGAGTTAAGAATAAAGTTGTGTATGGATCGAATTAGATCGGATTTAGCACATTTCGGATTGAAATTTCTGATTTCGAATTCTACAAAATACAATCCGAATCTGATCCGAATTAATATCGAATCAGATCGGATTTCAAAGTTCGAATCGAATAAATATTTTGGATTTTCGGATCGAATTGTACGTATTATTAAGGCTATTGCTAATTTAATCGGCTAACGCATCTATTTTATCTGCTTCTTCTGTGTTTTATGCCAATTCTTGTGGTGGAATCCATTGCATAAACAAAATACAATCTTCATTAATATATTACAAAACTGAAATCCTCGACAAGAATTCATTAATATATTACATAAAAGAGTTCCAAGTTCTAACTTCTGTGGCCATCCTACTCAATCGTGTCTCTTTTTCAAGTTCAGCAACACTATATTTGACAAAAACGAGAGGATTAGTACTCTTAGCTCTTAAGACAACAACTAAATGATTAATCTCACACTTGCAATAAGGAAGAAAAAGGCCGAAAGGGATACTTCTTTTGTAAAAAGATACATTTCAATAGTAAAAGATGTTAGATTGTATGAAATCGAGCAGAAACGAGGAAGAAATCAAAAACCTATCTTGGGGAAGGAAAGTTCGAGAGAGATGACATTGTTCAGATAATCTGCAAAATAACTCGTTGGTCCTCAAACCCGGAACCAACAATATTTATATACAAGCCCAACTCAAAGTGGGTCAAAAACGGAAGAAGAAAAATAAAGTCCAAATACACATGTGCAACTGACCTATCCAAAATACTTACAAGACCCAAAGTGACAGCCCAAATATAAATCCAACACCCACCTCAAGTTGGAGGGTGGTTGGACACACCCAACTTGCTCAAACTAGACCTGTGAGTGACCCCTGGGAGTGGCTTAGTCAGCATATCGGCTAGCTGCAGTTTGCTGGGAACAAATGATAAGGAAATAAGACCATCTTGGAGTTTCTTGCGGACAAAGTGGCAATCCAACTCTATATATTTCGTAGGCTCATGAAACACCGGATTCCGAGCAATGTAGATGGCGGACTAACTATCACAATGTAAAGGAACAGGAACAATAGAAGTAACAGAGAGTTTATCTAACAACCTGGTGAGCCAAGCAAGTTCAACAACAACTCGACGTATGGATCGATACTCAGCCCCGACGGAGGACAAGGCCACGATGTTCTGCTTTTTAGACTTCCATGTGAGCAAAGAACCACCAAGTAACACCAAATAACCACTAACAGACCTCTGGGAACTAGAACATGAAGCCCAATCCGAATCATAATAGGCATGTAAAGAGGAATCAGAAAGAGCAGATATAAACAAACCCTGACCCAAAGTACCTTTAACATACTTGAGAACATGATATGCAGCAAAAATATGACATGAAGTAGGGGCATGCATGAAATGACTCAACAATTGTACAGAGAAAGCCAAATTAGGCCTGGTATTTGTGAGAAAATTCAGCTTGCCAATGAGTTTCCTATACAAGAAAGGATCAGACAAGGGCCCCCCATCTTCAATGGAGAGTTTCAAATGCACATCTAAGGGGCTGGAAACAACATTGTAGTCTAGATAATTGAATTCAGATAAGAGGTCCAAGGCAAATTTTCTTTGGCAGATGATAACACCACCATATTCATTCAAAATTTCCAAACCCGGAAAATAATGTAAATGCCATAAATCTTTTATCTTGAATTGATCATCCAGAAACAGCTTGAGAGAAGTCATCTCCTCCTCATCATTTCCACTCAAGAGAATATCATCAACATAAACATCAATAATTGTAATATAAGAACCAGTGGACTTGATAAACAGAGAGTAGTCATTCTTAGAAACTGAGTAATCCTTAGAAAGAAGAGAATCACTTAATTTTGAATACCATTGCCTAGAAGCTTGCTTTAGGCCATGCAATGATTTGTTCAACTTACAAACCATGTTAGGTCCAGAAACAGTCACGCATTGGGGTATCTTCATATACACATCTTCATCAAGATCGTCACGCATTGGGGTATCTTCATATACACATCTTCATCAAGATCTCCGCATAAGAAAGTATTATTAACATCCAATTGGCACATAGTCCAACCTTTTTGGACTGCCACAACTATGATTGTTCTAACGATGGTCATTTTGACTACGGGAGAAAAACTTTCATTATAATCAATCTCCTCTAGTTGAGTATCACCCCTTGCCACCAACCTAGCTTTGTATCTCTCTATACTACCACCAGCCATATGTTTTATCTTATAAACCCATTTATTACCAATTGGCTTATTTTTCACAGGGAGAGGAACTATATCCCTAGTTTTATTAAGTTCAAGAGCCTCAAACTCCTTCAACATTACAGCCTGCTAGGCAGGATGCAACGCTGCCTGATGAAAGCTGGAGGGTTCATGTACAGTGTCCAAACTGTGAACTAAACTCTGATTGACTGAACTTAGACTACTGAAGCATACAGAATTAGGTGAAACAGGAATAGAAGTTAGAGTGGCAGGAGGAAGAATACCACAAAAATAGTCTGATAAGTAAGGAGGAGGATTGTTTGTTCTGGAAGGATATCTTGAAGTGAGAGGAAGTAAGGAGGAAGGTGTATTAGGTGAGGAAGGTGAAGGAACATTTTCAGAAAATGTTGGTCCAGGTGAAGGTACAAGTTAAGAAGGTGGAAAAGAAGAACTAGAGTGTGGTAGAGAAGGAACAAGAGGGGAAATGGATGGACAAGAAGAAGCAGTACAATGCTCTGTAGGTACAGAAGCTGAAGGAGGTGACTGGGTAGAATCATGGAAGATATGTGCGGGGGGAATAAAACATTGTAAGAAGGAGTGTTTGAGTAGGGAAAGATGTCTTCATGAAAAATAACATCCCTTGAAAAATTTATTTTCTTATCAGAAGGTTGTATGAGTTTATATGCCTTTTTCCCAAGAGGATATCCTAACATAACACAGGCGCTAGACCTAGGAGAGAATATATTCCTATGTGGTTTAGGGAACACATACACCCAAAGCTTCTTAGATGACTGTAAGAAGGTTGCTCCCCAGTTAAAACCTCATAAGGAGTCTTGCCAGATAAGATGGTTACTAGGAAATCTATTAATCAAGTAGGTGGATGTCAAAATGCAGTCTCCCTAAAATATAATTGGGAGTTTGGATTGGAAAAGCAAAGCTCTTGCTGTTTCTAACAAATGTTTGTGTTTTCTTTCAACAATCCCATTTTGTCGGGGCGTGTAAGGACAAGAGGTTTGGTGTAAGATGCCTTTGGACTGAAAAATTTGACTAGCTTCATAACTGGTACCAAGATCCAAAGCATTGTCTGTTCGAATAGTTTTAATTTTAGTGTTGAACTGAGTTTCAACCATGGAGAAGAAAGACTTTAAAATGGACAGAGCATTGCCCTTGTGACTTAGGAGATGTGTCCAAGTGTTTCTACTACAATCATCCGCAATTGTGAGAAAATATATATAAGATCTATACATGGCAGTGTGATACGGTCCCCAAACATCCACATGAATAAGATCAAATAAATGGGAAGAATGGGAATTACTATCAGGGAAATAATTTCTTTATTGTCTGGCAAGTGGACATATATCACAAATGAAAGGTTGTTTATCATAAAATAGTACATTCAAAGAGTTTATTTTCTATAATTTTGAAAATAGAAGGTGTCCCAACCTATTATGTCATAGAATTTGGGACTTATTTACATTTAATGTGTTTGCATGAACAGAAAAAAAAAGGAATTAAAGCAGGAGAATGACAAGTTGTTCGAGGTCTAGAATGTGTGACTGGATTGTGATCTGGAGTTGTACAGATAGAGCCCTTCAGCCATCTTACCAAGTACCAATGACACCTTTAGAGAAGGGCCCTGTAGAAACAAGCATGTTGTGAAAAAAAATAGCAGTGATGAAGTATTAACTAATAACTTGCGGATTGAAATAAGATTGTATTTAAACATAGGCACATACAACACTTGGACAGAGTGACTGAAGGATTTACTTGGACAGAACCAATTGAGGTCACTTTTACTTTATACCCATTGGGCAATGTGATAAGGTAGGGAACAGATAGGTTGTTATATTTGTAAGCGGAGATTTGTTAAAGGTCATATGATCTGATGCTCCAGAATCCAGGTTTCATGAGCTAGAATACCACTTAGACAAGTACAATTACCACAACTCATCAGATGAGAAGAGAAAACAAATATACCTGCAAATTTAACTGTGGTAGAGTGACTTTGAGAATCATCAGGACCAACTTAAACATGTTGAAGGATATTCATGAGTTGCCTGTACTGATTAGGTCTGATGTATTGGCAATATTGATATTCTCAAGGGAATGGTCATACTTGGCATAAGGAGAAGAATGAACATGTGCAGCAACTCGGATTTTCTTGTTCCCTGATTTAGAAGGTTGTGGAAACCTATGCAACTTGTAGCACTTCTCAATTACATGTCCAGGCGTTTTACAATATCTGTAATAGAGGTTTTTTGGATCATAGCCTCCCTTTTGAGTGTTGAAACCTTGATTATTAGGATTTGGATTGTTAAAAGTATATCTCTGTGTAAAATTTGTGGTTTGTGGTGATTTTGGATGATAAGTGGGACCATTAAAGCTAGCAGAAAAAGCTGCAGAGTCAGACTGAAAATCAAGTACATTGTGAATCCCTCTCTAATTCTCATCTTGAACAACTAGAGAATAAACCTTGATAACTTCAGGAAGTGGCTGCATCATTAGAATATTTCCTCTAGCGTTGTTGAATACCTCATTCAAACCCATCAAAAATTGCATCAATTTCTGATTTTTCTTCTTTTTGATCATTTTGTGTTTACCTCCACATTTACATTCACAAAACACAAAAAGAGTCAGCATCAAGAGAGTCCATTTCATCCCAGAGTCTCTTTACCCTATTAAAATAACCTCTCACATCAGAAGAACCTTGAGATATAGAATTTAGGACCTTTTGGACTTCATACATCCTAGCACCATTTGCTTGCCCATACCTCTGGTTCAATTCATCTCACAGACTCTTAGCAGACTTGGAGTATATGACACTCTGTGAAATGTCGGGGTCTAAGGAATTAAGGATCCAGCTAATGATCATGTTATTGCACTGTTCCAAGTGTTCAAACAAAGGAGAATTGGGAGAAGGCTGAACATAACTCTCATTAATGAATCCTAACTTCTTCTTTGCCCCTAAAGTAATGATAATGCCTATTCGCCATGCTCCAAAACAATCCCCTATAATTGTTTGGTCACGAGAATAGTACTAGGATTATCAGAAGGATGAAGATAAAATGGGTGAGAGAGAGGTAAAACAAGCTCAGTTTGAGTAAAAGTAGGGGAGTTAGGATCGGTTTTAGGCGCCATTGTATTATTTTCATTCTCCATGAGTAAAAAGATACAACATGTAAAAGCTAGGGCACAGAAGATAAAGGCACAATAATAACCAATAAAATGAATGAGCTGCATCGAGAAAGTTTACCAAAATATCGGGAGAATTCACCGGAAATACGAAGTCAAAAACCTGATAAACCAGCAAAAAAAGACTCATCGCCGTCACGTACCACCGAGCAACCACACCTTTTAATTCACAAATTGAGAAAAAACGGTCGGTAAATCACAACTTTCATCCAGAATAAACTTCGAAAAGTACTCAATCCATCATTAAAAAAACTCAGATTTGGGCTAGAACTTCAAAAATTGAAAAAAAAAAACCAGGTTTTCCAATTTTCTGGAAATAAGAAAAAACAGAGAAATCGAGGTACTAAAAATCGGAGATTACGCCGGATCTTTGATGATAATACTCTGATACCATGTTAGATTGTATGAAATCGAGCAAAAATGAGGAAGAAATCAGAAACCTAACTTGGGGAAGGAAGGTTCGAGAGAGACGACATTGTTCAGATAATCTGCAAAATAACTCGTTGGTCCTCATACCCGGAACCAACAATGTTTATATACAAGCCCAACTCAAAGTGGGCCAAAATCAGAAGAAGAAAAAGAAAGTCCAAATACATATGTGCAGCTGACCTATCTAAAATAATTACAAGGCCCAAAGTGACGACCCGAATATAAGCCCAATAATAGATATGTCCTACTGGACCCTAATATAATGTGGAATATATAAATATTCCTCTTAGTCTTATATTTTGCTATATATAGGATATATGACTTGGATATATGTGGAGCAATGATACAAAGTTTCTTCAAGTGGGAAATGACAATTTCTTGTATTGGTTCAAGAAAATCTACGGGGAAAGCCTTAACAGCAGAATTGGATACTTGATTAGCACCCAAATATAGATCAATCACTATTCCTATGTTATAAGAATACAGAACACACACAGAGACATTAAACTTTGTTCAAATACACTACATCAGAACATTGATAAAAACACAAGAAAAAGACATCACAGGATAAAAAAGGAATAAACCAGCAATAGTAAAATGTGATCTTCATGCTATATGTCGACGATGCAAGGCTCTCTTCCGGTATTAATAAAGTGTGTAGAATAAGATAGTAATAGAAGAAATTAGTTTTAAAATAATCTAAAGAAACATCGTTCTTGCATATTTCCATTGTGGTGGTGGTGGTGGTGGTGGTGGGGGGGGGGAGATAGAGAGAGAGATAGATAGAGAGAGAGAGAGAGAGAGAGAGAGATAGAGAGAGAGAGAGAGAGAGGATCAGGAGGTTCATTGATAACCTAAACTATGGTTTACATTACAGTTTAGTTTGAGAGGCAGACTAAGTGGTCGAGAATTCTAGACGCTTGGAGCAAGTTCGCAGGCTTGCGCGCGAGGAGCGGGAGGGCAAGAGGTTCCACAGTTCAGGTGGTTTTAGTGGTACCTCATCTGGAGGTCAGTCATATCACATCAGGGGTCGTCCTTTTAGGACCGATCAGATGGCCACATGTAGCAGGATAGTAGGCTGGTCGCTCGTCGTTGCAATTTCAGGCTAATTGATAACTTGTTGATCGGATGTGTTATGGTATATTTGGGCTTTTTGTTGTA